ATAAGATTTGGCTGGTAGCTTTTTGGAAAAGAGCTAACCAATTTGAGAAGGAAAATGACATTGACCTACTTACAAGATCACAGGGAAAAATATGTCAGCAACTTCTGAAGAAGAATCAAAAAGCATAGAATCTTATAATAATATTTTGCTGGTAGTTTCAACAGATGGAGCCAACAAAGTTTGCGAGGGAAATATTTTTAGTGCAATATAATTTTTAATGAGAATATTTTGCTATGACTGCTTAAATATTCAGGTGAGCGATACAGGCCCTCTTGGGCCTCTTGTTTAAAATTGCTGCGGTCCTAAGAAATGGTACAGCTAGCTTATCATATTCTATGGTGTAGTTTTCATACATTGTTAAAAATTAGTTTCTAGGTTTATAAAAGCTTACAGTTGAATGAAAATTAAAGTATTGTCTAATTACACCCTGTAATATGTCACATATTACTTATTTCAAAATCTGTTAACATGGCAACTCAATGGAGGCCCCTGATTAGTTGAAAGTCAGATATTGTGGTCCCAGTTGGGTTAGAACACAGATCTTGTCTGGCTTTGAAGAAATTTCATATAAAGATGTACTAATGCATTCAGCTGTAATGACTTAAATATAAAACCAGGTGAGCGATACAGGTCCAATGGACCTCTTGTTTGTGTGGACCATTTAATCTGTATGCAATTTTTTCTAGAACTTTTTGATAAACTTTCTACAATATTACAAGATAAATTTGATATATTTTCAATTGATACACGAAACTGGAAGAGAAAGTTTAGAAGCATCATACAAGTGAAAATGAGCAATTTATCTTCCAGAAAAAAATAGTGTCAGTAAATTATTTGTTACTGCAGCATGTGTAATGCTTCGCAATCAGTTACTATGGTGACAAACCTACAGTTAACATATCATAGCAACCATAATCAAACTGGTTACCAATATATCCCTAAACACTATGACAGTAATCATGGTTACAATACCTTGGTAATCAAGTTGGAAATGGTTACCAATATAAATACGAACACACTGACATTTACCAGATAAAATCACCATAGCAACAAACATGCAAATGGCAACCAGTGTAATTGTTAACACACTGACAGTAACCAGGTAAAAACCAAACCTGGTTACCAATGTAACCATAACCACACTGACAGTAACCAGGGTAACAGTAACCATAGTGATTTTGTTACCATTAATAGTAGTTACCGTGGTAGCTGATATAAAAGTAACGGTATCAGCAATAATAGTACCTTGGTAAACAGTAATCATTGTTTTACATGTATTATAGACATGGTTACCAATAGTAACAGTTACCATGGTAACTATAACGAGTGTAAAAGTAACCACACTAATACTAATATGCTTAACAATAACCCTGCTGACATTGTTCCCAGTGACAGTTACCCAGTGACCAATGTAACTCATCACAATTATAGCCACCAGGGTAACAGTTAGCACAGTGAATTTGTGAATCTCTGATTGACCATAAGAGATGGTCCAAGATGAACTTTCTAAGCAACATATTGTACAAATGATCATTTGACATGATGTTAGCTTCCTTTGAAAGCTTGGTGTGTATTATACAAGACCTCAATGTCTTTTTCTTCATCATCAGGAAGGTGATAAGAGGACCACCTCCATCTGTGAGAGCATGGCGTCGACTGTGACTGCAGAGTCAGGGGGTGAAGAAGACGAGATCTCTGATATTGACTCGGATACAGCGAGCGCGCCCAGCCCCACTCCATGCGCAGAGGAAGGTAAAGCCAACTTACCAACAATCACAAATTTCAGGCTCCATATTTATGAATTATTTATTTTCTTCAATATCTTGATCTTGAACTCCCAATAGAAGCACTGCCAAACCAAGAAAAATTGACCCAGGTAAAGAATATCTGTGGAACTGGTCTCAGTAGGCTTAGTCTGCACTGTCTGGCCTGGTCGTCTTGACCTTTTATCTTCTATGTGTTAATACATTGTCTTTGACAAATTGTGAGACCAAGTTTTGTAATTCTAGACTAAGTGGTCTGATTGTCAGATTTAGTTGTGTGATTACTCAGCTCTAAGTACTAGCTGAAAACTCACGATCAGTGTGCTAGCTCTAAGTACTAGCTGAAAACTCACGATCAGTGTGCCAGCTCTAAATACTAGCTGAAAACTCACGATCGGTGTGCCAATATCATTGATGTGTTCATTGTCGTGTGATAAAATTTTATGCTCAAATTCATTTGTCAGCAGGTACCCTGAAGGATAGGATGGTAAAACCTGACGTTAGCATGGAGTCCACCAACGAGGCGCAGCCGTCACAGCCTCTTGGCCTGTCACAGAATAACCTGACCTCTATTAAACCACTGAGCACGTCCCAGGGCAGTCTACGCAGCATTGACAATGACAGCAGTGCCACAATGAGTGCCGACGAGGCACCGCCGACGTCTGGAAGTGGAGTCAGTCACGGAGTGTCCACTGATGCCAGAGACACATTCAGCCCGCGAACATCTGGTATCCCGGCGACCAGATTGAACTTGGCACACCAACACCCTGTTGTATCGTCTCACATGCCACATTCCACTGGCGTGCATCCTGGCTCTGTGCCACCGCATGCAGCTCCGATGCATCCACAGCATTCTCAACACCAGGGGGCACCGGCACCGCATTCACAACCTGGCATTCCTGGGTCGCAAATGATGGTATCAATGGGCCATGCGCAGGGCCCCTCAGGAGTTCCCTTCACTCAAGGTGGAATTCCTCCTTATCACTATTCGACTAAGGGGGGCTCCATAACCCAAGGGCGCCCAATCACTCAACTCGTATCAGCCCCGGTGGGACCTGGGGACAGAGAGAGTGATCGGCGTCCCCAAGATGTTCCTATTATCAAAGAATCTCCCCCATCAGGGCCCCCTCAGCCACAGTCTGGGAGCCAACAAATGATGCCGGAGTTAAGAAACAAACAATTCCTGCAGAATTTGCTGATGCCTCAGGACCAAGGGTCCCACAGCCGACCATCAAGTACATTGTCAGAGCCTGGCCTGATGCCGCCCTCCGCCCCTTCCCATCGCAGTCTCTCCCCAAGTGCGGACAGGCGTGGCCCCAAACCTGCATGTGTTCGTGATCTGATCAACTCGGCTATAGAGAGGAACCTGGGACATCCACGCTCCTCTCATCAGGACTCTCCCCATCCTGAGAAACGTATGTATCTTTAGAACCTGGAATTGTATGGTGTTATTCTATGATCTCTACTGTAATGGTTGTCTATTGGTCCTGGGATAGCTGCTCACTTCTGCCCTATCTAACAACCAACGGACCACTAATAGAACAAAGAATAAATACAACTTTGTTGATTTCAGTAAAACATGCACATTTAGGCCAAACAAAATATATATTGTGTTCTTGATCAACAATGGCCAAGAAAGTGAGAAAGTGCAAGTAAAAGCACTGATAATTATTTGTTTGGCTTTATGTTGAATTGTTAGTTGTTTTCGATCCCTGCAATGAATTGCCTCCAAGCTCTATGATGATTTCAAGCTGTGATATATTGCTTTATTCTAAGTCTCCTGGGGTTTAGGTGATTTCTGTTTTCAAGGGAGATTACTCTAACACATTGGTGGAATTATGTAGGAAGCATATATCCTTAAGGGAAATTACTCCTGCACAAATATATTACAGATATACTGTGTAAGCTAGTTTATACCCTTAAGAGAGGTAACTCTAAACAAATCGGAGGCAGGCATACTGTGTAAGATAACACATGTCCTTAACTGAAAAGTCAAAATGATGTTGTTGTTTTTTTTTGTTTTTTTTTACCTGAGCAGGTCCAGCTTCATCTGAACCAGTGTATAGTCCTCAGCTTCTCAACACCATGCAGCCACAGTATATAATACAGGACCTCCGAAAGGACAAGCCTGAGCAGTCTGTGTCACCCGCCTACTCAGGTCGCAATTCTCTGTCTCCATACCACACTATGGCACGGCAACTCGAAAAGGAGGCAGACATGCGTGAAACCAGAGATATGCCGCAGGATTTATCCAAAGGACCTCATGGTTACCGTGGCAATCCAAGAGATTTGGATCCACGTTCTTCTGGCCATTCTGAATTTCGACGACATGGTGAAGACAATGTTCCAAGACAACCAGCTCCTCCTCCTGCACATTCGCAGCGTCCAGTGTTGTATCCTCCGACAGAAATTCCTGGGCGACAGACTGCTGAGGGACACAAGTCCCCTAGTCCCTACCCTCATGATCGACAGAGTTCCCCTGCCTTGAGGCACCTATCACCTAGCACCTCCCCCTATGCCCATGTGCCCCCTGGACTGGACCCTCACCGTGCAGCCCAGCCTAACAGACAGGGGGTTATTCCACCTCCACCTCCTTTAATCAACAAGGGGCCTTCTCCAAAGCTGCCCAAGTCTCCACCCACTAGTGTCCACCCATCAGCCCTGGTTGGCATGCATCATGGTTCTATCACACATGGGACACCTGGTTCAATCACTCGTGGCACTCCTATAGTGTCCATGCAACAGGGCATGCCTGCAACCAGCCACCCAAATAGTAGCAGAGTGATGGCTGTCGGCCGTGCTTCACACACTGACAGTCGCCACCAGCAGCAAGTAAGGGCGGTGGGATCCATCACATCGGGCACACCTATCAACAGGGAATCTTCAGCAGGGAGAGGTGGTCCCCAGGGAGGGGATCCCAGGATGTACGACCCCAGATTTCCCCAGGCCATGTATGATCCTAGGATGTTGGTGTCAGAGCGAATGCGTATGTTCCCACAGGGAATTCCCTATCCATTCCAACAGCCAACTGAGCAACAGACTATGAGCAAGCAGATCAATGTTGATTTCATGACTGCTCAACAGATGCAGGCGCAGCGGCATGCTCCTGGGAAGGAGAGGGAGGGGCCTGCTTCCCCTCGTGGAGGCTCCAAAGAGCCAGTACGCCAGCATCAACCCCTCATCCCCGTTCATCCTGGATACCAACAAGGCCTGATGTATGTTCACCAGCCTCCAACACCTATGTCAGACCGCCAAGGAAATACACATTCCTCCCCACACCCTTCATCTCATGGAACTCCCTCGCCCCATGATGAAAATCTCTCACCTGGCTGGTCCCGTTCACAGATTTCAGGACACAGTCACAGCCCCAATATAGCACCAGCAATTCGTAGCATCACTGCAGGAACAGGAAGGCCAAGCGTCATCACGGATATAACTAGTCGACAGGAAGCATATATAGAGGGCCAACCTATGATGAGATCACAGGCCATATCACCACGACAGTATCCAGAAGGTCCTTTCCAAAACCATCCACCAATAATGGGGCATCGCCATGGTGCACTGCCAGCCCAGTCAGAATACAGTACAGTACCAGGTCGTGGACAGTACCAGGAGGAAAGGCACAGGCATGTGCAGGAGCAACGCATTCGTGGGTTCAATATGGAAGAGCAGATTCGCAAGGAAATTATGGAAAGTCAACGAAAGGAGGAGAAGAATGACGATGTCGTCATGACATCAAAGTCTGAGTCATCTCGTAGCCCAGCTTCAATGCAGTCCCAGTCCTCCAAGCCGAATATTCCTACCGACCTGTTCAAGGCATTTGTGTCTGACCAAGCACAGTCCACCGCAACACGAGACAGTCCACGTGGACCCTCGGCTCTCACAGCTGCTAATCTCATAGATGCCATTATTATTCACCAGATCAATCAATCGATAGATGAGCCTGACAGCAAAATCCCCAAGCAGGAAGTTCAGTCGGCAGGTGGTCCCCACTCAAGTCAACTTGCCCCAGAACCAGTAGACACGGCACCAGCAATGACTCCCCTTCAGGACCAAAAGTCTCCAACTCAAATGCACGGAAAAAAGAAGTGGGTCATCGAATCTCAGTCAGGCTCCACCCCACGGGCAACCCCTCCAACCCCCACCAGTACTGGGAGTGCCCCGCAGATGCCGACCCCGCCAGGAGAGAGGCGCTCGCAAGGAATGGCGATGTCCCCTGGGGCTGCTGACGGGAACCGGGGACAGGATAAGTCCCCCTCAGGAATGTCAACAGGAGGCAACAAACCAGGCATGACCCTGGGAGAACACATCAACTCTATCATACTCAGTGACTACAATACAAGACCAGTCAACAACAAGAATGGTGTACTCAGTCAGCTTGGAGGTAGGTACAACCAGGCTTGAAACTTATTTAGCTTGTTCATTTAGAAACTCCAATAACCTTGAGCAGGAAACTTGTAGGTAAAATGTAGTTATCATTATTTGGTCCAGTAACTTGTATATTATGATGAAAAAAATTAAAGCAAGCCAGAAATATAAATCAATGATTCAGATGAGTTAGATTCATTTAAACCTTAACAACAGTGTAGAAATGGTTGGATTAATGGGGAATCTTAATCTGTCCATCACATTATTGTTTAGGGGGACTAATAGAATCTTCTCCTACCTTGAGGGTGTGACAGAGAAATCTCTAACCCAAGGCTCTGCTGAGGGTTAGACAACCAAACAAATCACCCCGAGGGTTGGAGATTTCTCTGTAACACCCTCAAGGTAGGGGATGCTTATTTTTCTCCCATCCTATTATTTCAGTCACAACTCCACCGACAGTAGTGTAAACAAAAACACATGTGGGGTATGAATATTGTCATTCACTTTTGATGAGGTCACAATTGAACCCGTGCTAATCGGCACGAGGCTATCTCCCCCTAGGGGGTAACAAGCTGATCTTTCCCGACTAAAACGGGAGACACCTGTGAAGGATGGGAGAACACTGGATGAATGGTGGCAAAATTAGAAGGCTTCACTGTAATCCAAGTATATCATCTTCTGGACACTTATATAGAACTCTTAACACAGTAAAACCTATTTAATCTGACACCTTGTAGGATGTATTATACGGGTCTAATTAGACAGGGTGTTGGACTACTCATGTTCCTGGTTTATTTGCGTGAGAGTTAAATTCATCATCATCTTTATTAGTGTTTCACTTCATGCACACACTCAGCTGTTCATCTGTTGTACGTTCCAGCCCTTAACAACAACACTCCCCCAGACAGCCAGCAGGAACGAAACAATCCCTCACCGATGTCGACTCACTCCCAGTCTGATACGTCTTCCACAGTGTCTGCGGACTCCACACGCTCAAGAAGCTTTTCCCACGGGACGACGCCCCCTCAGAGTGGTTACAGCAGTCATGGGACCACTCCACCTCAAAGTGGCTACGGTGGGCACGGGCATAAGTGGAAGAAAGCACAAATACAGGTTTGTTTTAGCTATCCATTATGTAGTTTCTATGAATAAAATAAATGGTGAAATTGTAAGCTAAGTATACACTACATTACTGCGAAATGCATCTCCTTTCATCATTCACAAAAGAGTCCCACTTGATCATTCACAAAAGAGTTCCACTTGATCATTCACAAAAGAGTTCCTTTCAACATTAACAAGAGTTCCATTTCATCTTCATATCATTAATTGATCGATCAATTGATTGGGTTTACATCTGCTTCACTACGGAGTAGTTCGGTTATCCAGCAGATGACTTCATATTATGAACCAATCCTCTGCTTTTATAGGAGGCTGAGAGAGAGATGGCCAGCAGCTCTGGTCAGACAGACGCCTCGCAACCAATGTCTACTGGAGCTCCTCATGGGGAGGACCGGTCAACGCACCCACCAGATATCACCCCAGAGTCAACAGAGCGGAAACATCACACGCCTGACCAGTCACATTCACCACGGCTACGTTCTCCTCATATCAGTAGTCTCTCGGACCCCAAATCTCCCATGGGTAAGTTACTCAAAAGAGTCTAATACTGTGTAAAACTAAAATCTCCCATGGGTAAGTTACTCAAAAGGGACTGATACTGTGTAAACCTGAAATCTCCCATGGGTAAGTCATACAAAAGGGACTGATACTGTGTAAATCTGAAATCTCCCATGGGTAAGTCATACAAAAGGGACTGGTACTGTGTAAACCTGAAATCTCCCATGGGTAAGTCATACAAAAGGGACTGATACTGTGTAAACCTGAAATCTCCCATGGGTAAGTCATACAAAGGGGACTGATACTGTGTAAACCTGAAATCTCCCATGTGTAAGTCACCTGAAATCTCCCATGGGTAAGTCATACAAAAGGGACTGATACTGTGTAAACCTGAAATCTCCCATGGGTAAGTCATACAAAGGGGACTGATACTGTGTAAACCTGAAATCTCCCATGGGTAAGTCACCTGAAATCTCCCATGGGTAAGCAGGGAGCTGATTCACTGTACTATTAGTCATGATTACTGTTATGTTCATACTTTTCTGGTACATTACTGGAAATAATAATACCTCCTGCAAACAAAGTTTTGGGGTATATAGGAATCATGCTGTCAGTCTGTCTCTCCGTCAGTCTGCCTCTCTGTCCGTCTTTCTCTCCATCTCTCCGTCAGTCTGTCTCTCTGTCTGTCTGTCCCTCCGTCTGTCAATGAAACTTTTAGGCACAACTCCTCCTTAATTGTTTATTGGAGTTTTGGCACAGAGAAAGTACATCATGCGTAGATGTGTATGAAGAAAGGAATTTGCGATTTGGCTATTTTCCCTGGAGTTATGGCCCTTGAAACTTTAACCTCTGCTCCAGAAACCTTGTAAGCACAACTCCTCCTTACCTGTTTGTTGGATTTGTTTGTTACTTGGCACAGTGATAGTATATCATATAGTAGATGTGCATGAAGGAAGAGATTTGTGATTTGGTTGTTATATCCCCTGCAAACAAACTGTCAATACGTAGATAAATATGTCTTTGTGAGCTTGCTCACAGATTCTCTAGTTTTAAAATGTTTTCAACTTTAAACAAGGCCTGCATCCTGTAATTGTTTTGTATGAATACAGAGCAAAGAAAAAACCCCATTAAACAGGAAATTAAATGTAAAAACGTGCTGACACTCGACCCGAATCGTTTACAAATTTCATTATTTTTCACACTCGGTTAAAATAATATTGCATGAAATCACAGATATACAAAGCGTATGTCCCACTTCACTGTGCATCTTGAGTAGAACAATGTCCACTCTATTGGCAAATAAACATTAGCGATTCATCTAAGCTCAGGGCTCATTCAGCATGATACTTACAAAAGGATGTGTGCACAAACACGAATCTCTGATGGGCTGGACGGCCATGGGTAGATCTAGATACTGTTCATATAGGGGGAACTGTGGACCACGACATACAGAAAACAAGGCCTTGGGTAGATCTAGATACTGTTCATATAGGGGGAACTGTGGACCATGACATACAAAAACCAAGGCCTTGGGTAGATCTAGATACTGTTTATATAGGGGGAACTGTGGACCACGACATACAGAAACCAAGGCCTTGGGTAGATCTAGATACTGTTTATATAGGGGGAACTGTGGACCACGACATACAGAAACCAAGGCCTTGGGTAGATCTAGATACTGTTTATATAGGGGGAACTGTGGACCACGACATACAGAAACCAAGGCCTTGGGTAGATCTAGATACTGTTTATATAGGGGGAACTGTGGACCACGACATACAGAAACCAAGGCCTTGGGTAGATCTAGATACTGTTTATATAGGGGGAACTGTGGACCACGACATACAGAAACCAAGGCCTTGGGTAGATCTAGATACTGTTTATATAGGGGGAACTGTGGACCACGACATACAGAAACCAAGGCCTTGGGTAGATCTAGATACTGTTTATATAGGGGGAACTGTGGACCACGACATACAGAAACCAAGGCCTTGGGTAGATCTAGATACTGTTTATATAGGGGGAACTGTGGACCACGACATACAGAAACCAAGGCCTTGGGTAGATCTAGATACTGTTTATATAGGGGGAACTGTGGACCACGACATACAGAAACCAAGGCCTTGGGTAGATCTAGATACTGTTTATATAGGGGGAACTGTGGACCACGACATACAGAAACCAAGGCCTTGGGTAGATCTAGATACTGTTTATATAGGGGGAACTGTGGACCACGACATACAGAAACCAAGGCCTTGGGTAGATCTAGATACTGTTTATATAGGGGGAACTGTGGACCACGACATACAGAAACCAAGGCCTTGGGTAGATCTAGATACTGTTTATATAGGGGGAACTGTGGACCACGACATACAGAAACCAAGGCCTTGGGTAGATCTAGATACTGTTTATATAGGGGGAACTGTGGACCACGACATACAGAAACCAAGGCCTTGGGTAGATCTAGATACTGTTTATATAGGGGGAACTGTGGACCACGACATACAGAAACCAAGGCCTTGGGTAGATCTAGATACTGTTTATATAGGGGGAACTGTGGACCACGACATACAGAAACCAAGGCCTTGGGTAGATCTAGATACTGTTTATATAGGGGGAACTGTGGACCACGACATACAGAAACCAAGGCCTTGGGTAGATCTAGATACTGTTTATATAGGGGGAACTGTGGACCACGACATACAGAAACCAAGGCCTTGGGTAGATCTAGATACTGTTTATATAGGGGGAACTGTGGACCACGACATACAGAAACCAAGGCCTTGGGTAGATCTAGATACTGTTTATATAGGGGGAACTGTGGACCACGACATACAGAAACCAAGGCCTTGGGTAGATCTAGATACTGTTTATATAGGGGGAACTGTGGACCACGACATACAGAAACCAAGGCCTTGGGTAGATCTAGATACTGTTTATATAGGGGGAACTGTGGACCACGACATACAGAAACCAAGGCCTTGGGTAGATCTAGATACTGTTTATATAGGGGGAACTGTGGACCACGACATACAGAAACCAAGGCCTTGGGTAGATCTAGATACTGTTTATATAGGGGGAACTGTGGACCACGACATACAGAAACCAAGGCCTTGGGTAGATCTAGATACTGTTTATATAGGGGGAACTGTGGACCACGACATACAGAAACCAAGGCCTTGGGTAGATCTAGATACTGTTTATATAGGGGGAACTGTGGACCACGACATACAGAAACCAAGGCCTTGGGTAGATCTAGATACTGTTTATATAGGGGGAACTGTGGACCACGACATACAGAAACCAAGGCCTTGGGTAGATCTAGATACTGTTTATATAGGGGGAACTGTGGACCACGACATACAGAAACCAAGGCCTTGGGTAGATCTAGATACTGTTTATATAGGGGGAACTGTGGACCACGACATACAGAAACCAAGGCCTTGGGTAGATCTAGATACTGTTTATATAGGGGGAACTGTGGACCACGACATACAGAAACCAAGGCCTTGGGTAGATCTAGATACTGTTTATATAGGGGGAACTGTGGACCACGACATACAGAAACCAAGGCCTTGGGTAGATCTAGATACTGTTTATATAGGGTGACACTGTTCCCCAAAGTGATAGTTGATTGTGTTAGCCACACCCCATTCCTCAAAGTGACAGTTCATGTTTGTAGCTACACACCCTTCCCCAAATTGACAGTTGATTAATGTAGCCACACACCCTTCCCAAAAGTGACAGTTGATTTTTGTAGCCACACACCCTGCTCAAAGTGACAGTTGATTGTTGTAGCCACACACCCTTCCCCAAATTGACAGTTGATTAATGTAGCCACACACCCTGCTCAAAGTGACAGTTGATTGTTGTAGCCACACACCCTGCTCAAAGGGGCAGTTGATTGTTGTAGCCACACACCCTGCTCCAAGTGACAGTTGATTGTTGTAGCCACACCCCCTGCCCAAAGTGACAGTTGATTGTTGTAGCCACACCCCCTGCTCAAAGTGACAGTTGATTGTCGTAGCCACACACCCTTCCCCAAATTGACAGATGATTAATGTAGCCACACACCCTGCTCAAAGTGACAGATGATTGTTGTAGCCACACACCCTTCCCAAAATTGACAGTTGATTGTTGTAGCCATACACCCTTCCCCAAAGTGACAGTTGATTTTTGTAGCCTCACAACCTGCTCAAAGTGACAGTTGATTGTTTTAGACACACACCCTTCCCCAAATTGACAGATGATTAATGTAGCCACACACCCTGCTCAAAGTGACGGTTGATTGTTGTAGCCACACACCCTGCTCCAAGTGACAGTTGATTGTTGTAGCCACAAACCCTTCCTCAAAGTGACAGTTGATTTTTGTAGTCATATACTCTTCCTCAAAGTGACAGTGTTGATTGTTGTAGCCATACACCCTTCCCCAAAGTGACAGTTGATTTTTGTAGCCACCCGCCCTGCTCAAAGTGACAGTTGATTGTTTTAGACACACACCCTTCCCCAAATTGACAGATGATTAATGTAGCCACACACCCTGCTCACAGTTACAGTTGATTGTTGTAGCCACACACCCTGCTCAAAGGGACAGTTGATTTTTGTAGTCACACACCCTTCTCAAAGGGACAGGTGATTGTTGTAGCCACACACCCTTCTCAAAGGGGCCGGTGATTTTTGTAGCCACACACCCTGCTCAAAGTGACAGTTGATTTTTGTAGTCACATACTCTTCCTCAAAGTGACAGTGTTGATTGTTGTAGCCATACACCCTTCCCAAACGTGACAGTGGAATGTTTGTGCCAGTTGTTTGTTGTAGCCACACCCTAGTGACACATGTTGTATATGTGTGTATCTGTTTTGTTGTCTGTGTAGCCCCTGCTGACAGCAGTGAAGTTCTACCCACCAAGATCTCTCCGCCCCGATCCCCACGCTCACGATCGGGATCAGTGACGGCCAGTCACCAGCACATCACCAGTCTACTGTCACGCCCACAGATGAGTATGTGTTGTTTGATTTGTCTGTTTATGTCAGCCACTTGTCAAGCACTTGTCAAGCACTTGTCAAGCCACTCCTTCCATTTATATTGTATCTTCCCACATTATTGTTAGAATGTTGTATTATATCCATGCATTTGTTTTCCTACATTGCACACTGCAGATCACAAAACTTATAAATTTCTTTAAGGGTAAGATATGTTCTTTGTCCAGCCTGATATCATACGTACTACATTTGAATCTCACTGATCTTGACTTCATAAATCCAGAAAACTTCACAATCTAGGCAATCTTTAACTGGAACAGATTTTCACAGCAGTAGTTATACCCCCCACAACGAAAAAGAACCTACACTTTTGACAATACTCCTCCAAAAAATGTTTTAAAATTTAAACTGTATGATTCAAATAGGTACCCAGACATTGTTAAGTCTGTAAAAGGAACAACATTTGTACAATGTATTATATGCTGTTATGATAACATTTGTACAATGTATTACATACTGTTATGATAACAACATTTGTACAATGTATTACATACTGTTATGATAACAACATTTGTACAATGTATTTACATACTGTTGTTATCAACATTTATACAATGAATGACACACTGTTATGATAACAACATTTGTACAATGTATTACATACTGGTATGATAACAACATTTGTACAATGTATTACATACTGTTATGATAACAACATTTGTACAATGTATTACATGCTGCTATGATAACAACATTTGTACAATGTATTTACATACTGTTGTTATCAACATTTATACAATGAATGACACACTGTTATGATAACAACATTTGTACAATGTATTTACATACTGTTATGATAACAACATTTGTACAATGTATAACATGCTGTTATGATAACAACATTTGTAAAATGTGGTACATGCTGTTATGATAACAACATTTGTACAATGTATTTACATACTGTTATGATAAAAACATTTGTACAATATATTACATACTGTTATAATAACAACATTTGTACAATGTATTACATACTGTTATGATAACAACATTTGTACAATGTATTACATATTTCAAGGTGAAAATGACATGACAGCAAATGATCCTTCGTTCAATCAGAAAGGATGGATTCTTTCATTTGAAACATTACTCAAACCTGGGAAATTGTGTCCAAATGCTGAAAGTTTTGTTTCCCCAAGTCTTTATTACGTTTTTCGAAACTTAAAACCTCAGAAAGTAATTGATTTTTTTCTCACACCTCATTAGTTTGAAAACTGCCAAACAATAATTTAATGGCAAAATTGAATATTTCAAATGCTGAATGTTATACCCCACCCCCCACTTAGGGAGGGGGTGTATATAGTAATCACTTCTTCAGTACATCTGTGCGTGTGTGTGTGTGGGTACGTGCCTGAGGGCATCTGTCGGTAGTAAACTTTTGAAGTGAAATGCTTGAGTACAAGATATCTCGATCACGAACCCTTCAAGAATTCTAGTTTATATATACACCAGTGTTGAATGTGGATGGATGCATTGTGATGATAAAGGTCCCAAATGTCACATAAAGGTGGCAGACAGATCTAAGTAGATCGAAAAATCTAGCACAGGGTATGATGTGGAATATCCCAGTCTGAGATGCAGGAATAATGCGTTTTGACTATATTTCATGATGAAGGGTATTTCTTTGTGTTTTGCAGGTTTCCAATCACACAGTGAAAGCACAGGGAATTCTCCTCCTTCGGCAGAGTCCTCCACCGGCTCAAAGGCGGTCAGTGTCCCCTCTGACATATCACCCCTTGACTATGTGAAAAACAAAATTGCTGAGGTGTTACGCGATGACAGCATTAATGACATGCCCAAGCCCTCGGGCCCGCCCCGGGGGTCACTTTCCTCCCCACAGCAGTCTGGGTCCCCTAGAGGCATGGGCATGGGAAAACTCCCCGGGCAGCTTCTGCAGGCCCCTGGACTACAGAGCTTTTCTGTCCAGCAGGGGCGGGCCTTATCACCTATGACGACCATACAGGGTGACCATATCAAAGGACATCAACGGGAAATTCAGGGGCCCCAAATGGGTCACCAACGAGATACACAAGGATCATCCATGGGACATCAGAGGGATATGGCTGGAGCTCCAATGGGGCACCAAAGGGAGAGAGAAATGCCAGGATCTCAAATGGGGCACCAAAGGGATAGAGACTTGCCAGGATCTCAAATGGGGCACCAAAGGGAGAGAGACATGCCAGGATCTCAAATGGGACACCAAAGGGAGAGAGACACACCAGGATCTCAAATGGGGCACCAAAGAGAGAGAGACATGCCAGGATCTCAAATGGGACACCAAAGGGAGAGAGACACACCAGGATCTCAAATGAGGGAGAGAGACACACCAGGATCTCAAATGGGGCACCAAAGGGAGAGAGACATGCCAGGATCACAGATGAGTCACCCAAGAGAAAATATGTCTGGGTCCCAGATTAGTCATCCAAGGGAGAGAGAAAACATGTCAGGACTACAAATTGGGCATCAAAGGGAAAGAGAAAATATGTCGGGGCCTCAAATGGGGAACCAGAGGGAAAGAGAAAATATATCAGGATCACAAATGGGCCATCCAAGGGAGAGAGCAAATATGACTGGGCCCCAAATGGGACATCAACAGGAAGTCCCACGGCCTCTGTCTGGACACCAAAGGGAACCTCCTGAATCGTCAGTGGGACACCTTGATTCCACTCACCAGCGTGATACCCAGTCACACATTGGTCACCAAAGAGAGGCTACTCATCACCCTGGAGGTCAACGTGAATCACAAGAGTGGGAACCGGCAACACAATCAGATTCAAGCAATTATCCCACCAGCTCAACACAGGGTGGGGGAGAGGGGCAAGGAGGGGACAAGGAGGGTAAGTCTGGAGGAGGAGCTGGGGATAAAATGCCACCCATGCATCACCCCCTCAGAAAACGTGGCATGTTCAGCCGATCACGTGTAGTGCGAGACGAGGCTGGTGGAAAGTTCACGGTAACAGCTTCTGGGCGCGACCACACAAAGTCTAGCCCAACATCTGCCTCGGACATGCAGCGACCTGCATCAGAAAAGAAAGGTCCGCGGTCAGAGTATGACTTTCCGGACAGCCCTGATGACGATCCATTGGTGGCTAAAAAGCCTAGTAGCTATATGGCTCTGTCAGGATCCACACGAAGTCCACGTCGTGGAGTTGTTGACAGTTCTGATGGACGCACAAGCTCCCAGGGGTCATCAGAGAGTGGACGGGGCTCCGACAGTCATGTACAGAGCTCTAGTGACAGCCGTTCAGGGGAAGGACAGGATGCGGGAAGTCATGATGGCTATCGAAGTGGAATCGAGGCAAACTTTGGACGCCCAGACCAAGGGCCAGGAGAAGCCAAGATGTCACGGCGATCATCCAAACATGATTCTGAAGGCGATGACAGTTCCAACATTTCCCATCCAAGTGTGGATAGCACTCACACAGACAGAATGGTCATTGATGAGATGGCTGGAGTAGACAGTTCATCTGGAGGAGACGTGACGTCAGCGTCGGCAATGCCGGAACGTCCGCGATCATCACGATCATCTAGAGACAGCGACAATAGTCCACGAAGCACCACAGAGAACCTGGAGGCTGGAGAATTTGGTTCATCACAGGGGAGAGGTCAAGACAATATGGGCGGGTCCCTCGGCTTCCCCCATAGGTCACGAAGTCCTCGTGGAAGTGGAATAGGTGGGGACATGCACTACCAAAGCTCTGATGCCCATCAAAGTGTGGAGTCCACATCTTCAAGCATTGGCTCCGGGTCAACAGGTGCAGTGCCGTTTTCCAGCAGTCAGCATGCTGAATCTGAACGATCAGGCTATAATCCACGCGTCCCGGAACCCGTTCTACTGAGGTCATCCAAGTATGACGATCTGTCGGATGACGACGATTGAACGTCTAATCAGAGTTGGATGTCTAACATACATACTGATTTTGATCAGGACTTAGTACAGATGTTGTACAGCACTAGACTCTCCGTGCAGTATGACCATAGCTTAATAAGTAAAGACACTCAGCAAGTTACGTATACATACAGAGGGGTTACGAACAGCTGCAGAAAGTCAAAAATAACTAAAGCTACTGTATATTCTGTACATACTGACCCTGGCCAGACCTGGTGATGAATTTAGTGCTATATATGGTTTGTGATGTTTTTTTATTAGGAGGAATGTCCTGTCTTCTGTTTCAGACACTTTAACAGACATGAATGCTCTAACTCGTTGAAGGCTTAGACGAGCCAAAGACCTTCGGCTATATCGACTTAGAAGTATGAGAATTTGTTTTAGCAGAAAAGTTTTAAAAATAATTCAACAGACGTGGTAAAAAGTGTTAAACTGATTCCGAGTACACACAGATCCCTGATAGTGCCAGCCTAGCTACAGCCCTATTGGTATGTAAGTCTGTATTACATGAAATATAGGTTCGAAAAGCATCAACGTGTAGGATAAAAAAAATCCAGGCCTATACAGTTATTTTCTAGGCAATTTTGTTGTCAAAATCTTTGCAGTACAGCAATGTAAATTTGGGAATTCAATAATTTTAATTAAGTGCTGTTTGGATTAAGATAACCTTTTGCATTTGTGTCACGATTCCTCCAAAAATATTTGTGTGAATACACTTGATGTTATTGTATATATGTGCTGATCATAAATGAAACTCTGTTTAAACACTGAACCCAGGAATATGTGATAAAGTATTTTCCTTCAAAACGGACAAAGATAACAACAGCATGTTTCCTATCAACTCACTAAAGGTAGAGGGTCACAGCTCTATGTTGTTCAATTTTTTCCTAACTTGGATTTGTCTTACTATTATTGCAGTAAGTTATATTTTAAAGAAATATATTGATCATCATCATGACTTCCTTTCATAAAAACATATCTGGCAAATGGATTTGATTCCCGAACTCTTGATCATACAGCAGAGTACTTATTCACAGTGTTATTGGTCATGATATTTATCATACTGTTCTCTGTAACATTACCGGGATTCATCCAGAATGGCTGAAAGTACAATTTTGTTAATCATATACCAGAGGTTTTGCTCCCGGTCATAAGTAATAATAGGTTCAATGGATTGACTGTATTTATTCTCTCTCTCATTAAATGACATTTAACCTTTTGAAACTTCGGCATTCAAAATACCAGAAATTTCACATTTATATACCTTAACATTTTCATAATTTGGGTGACTTCTTCTTGAGGGTGATGAAATATCAATATTGTTTTTTTCAGCATTTTTACAAGAGATGATGTTTTACCTCGTAAATGTATCCATTTTCCCCTGGCTTCAGCCTGACATTATATTGAAAAATACCCACCAAAATCTCATATTGAGAATTCCCAACATTCATCACCGAGTTTGTTATTGTTGCCGAGAGCAAGTCACATATTGATCATGCATATAATTAGATAAATAAGTGTCGTCATTTACAGATTATTCAGGTTTTATTCCCCAGATTTTCATAAATGATCTTTTTCTGACAATTTCATGTTATTTAAGAAGCTGATACATCTAGAACAATAAACATATTATTTATGTTGAAAGTTGTAAAACGAGATTATTTTGATGCTAAATGTTTTCTTCTTCATAATGTATGTCTTTCGTAGAATGTAAAGAATGCCTCCTCATAGTTAAGGGCAAAAATAATAAATTCTACGAAAAATAAAAGAACAATTTCAGCAAAACGTTAATTTTACAGTCTCCAATAATTACTGCTGTTGTATACTTAACTCATCTTTTTTAGGTTTCTGTCGATTTTCTGCAGTATTTTAAATGTTACAATTACTTTTGCAATGTTAGAGAAGTTCCGATCTTTCGGTAAATACCACCTGTGGTATAATTTTCAAAAGGCAGTGCTTGGATTTATATAGGTTACTGCCAGGTTAAACTTACCTGTTTAGTCAACCAGCCTACACACTGGTAATGCAGTTTGTTTGATAACATAGTTACTTTACTTACTATATGTATATTCTGTACCTACTTACTATATGTATATTCTGTACCAGGACAGAGGCTCCGGTAAATACTGTTTCTCCTGGTTTGAAGTAGATAAGTTTTTTAAAAGCATCATACAAAAAAAGTTCTAGAATAATTTCTACATAATTCATTTAGCCATTCTTAAAAATTACATTTTCCCTTCGCTCTGTTATATTCATTTACGGTTTATGAAACCAAATCATTATCATTAATAGTTTTCACAGCGTTACCATACTTGTTTATAATGCCCGTATATGGTGTTTCTGTCATAAGATGTGCCCTTTAACCTCTCGCATTAATTAGTATGTAAAGCAGGTTTCACTTATCTTCTGACTATTGTGTGTCAATGGTACGGTGTCTAGAACAATAAAGATGTTAGTATACACACTGTAGTCAAGTCTTTTGTTGTGATCTTTGGCAGTCACTTACTTTGATAACACGGAACTGAAAGATGTTTTTGGTAAAATTTTCAAGTCATACGCGTTAATTGTAGTTGCTGTATTGAGCAAGAACACCACTTTTTAACACACAGTTGTATAAGATAAAATAGAGATTTGATTTTGTAAGCAAAAATGCAAGTCTCTTAATTAGCCATATGCATATTTGTTTATTTAAATTGACCTTTTGACCTAGAGGTTGAAGGTTGAAGGTCATAGCGATCCAAATACTTCAAGGGTCATCAAAAATATCTTCAATAGTTCAGTTCAGTCCAGAAAAGATTAAAAGCATTTTGCATCTTGCATGCTTTTGACCTTTGACCTAGATAAGGTCATTGCGTCTTAATTACATTACTATAGTACACTTAACACTTTCTGTGGATGATGCAGATAATCATCAGGTTTTGTCAAGATATTTTTAACAGGTTTAAAAGTTGACCCCGGACAATATTACACCGATAACTTTGCACTTATTTGACATTTGATGACTTGATCACATTGTACTAAACACTTTCTGTGGATGAAGCAGATACAGTTTTAAATGTCATCAACATGTTTTTATAATGCTTAGGTTTTTGAGCCTGGCCAGTGAAAATTTTGCACTTGACCTTTAACCTCGAGGTCAAGGTCACAAAGACCTAATGGCAGTGCACTACACACCTCCTGTGGGTAATGTATGTACAATGTACACTTCAAGCTTTGTTAAGATCTCGTACCAGATTAAAGCTACAGACTAGACAAGATTTTAACAAATTATAGTCCCCCACCGAATGTGAAATGCACAGATGATAAATTTGTGCAGGAACTAATTCTATATATGAATGTTTGACAGACCCAATAAGGAATAGTGTCGGTGCTACTATTGCAAATAAATCTGGTGGATGTTTTCTGGTACCGTTTTACTATTAAATTGCATCTGGTGACACTATGTATGCTTCTTCTTCAATGCAAGTGATCCCATGCCCAAAGCAAGAAGTTCCAGTAACTAGTAGTGTATGAGATAGAGCCTGGCCAAACTTTTTCTTTGATGCAGGTCGAAGGTCAAAAACAGAGTGACTTACTTTGATATACGACACACCGCCTCACCAAGGTGAACCCATACTCCAAGTATAAAGTTCCAGTGACTAGTAGTGTAGGAGATAAGCCCAGACCAACTTTTTCTTTGATGCAGGTCAAAGGTCAAAGTGACCTACTTTCAATACATGACACACCGCTCACCAAGGGGAACCCATACACCAAGTATGAAGTTTGAGTGACTAGTAGTGTATGAGATAGAGCTTGGACAAACTTTTTCTTTGATGTTGGCCAAATGTCAAAATGTAGGTCAGAGTGACCTACTTTTGATACATGACACACCGCCTCACCAAGGTGAACCCATACACCAAGTATGAAGTTCGAGTGACAAGTAGTGTAGGAGATAGAGCCCGGACAAGATAGCGGAAGGAAGGACGGACGGACATGACGCAAAACTAGTCCCCCACCGGGAATAATAAAGAACCAGTGTCAATGCAATGTCTCTTTGAAGGAAAAATGTGTGAAAACAATCATACAATTTGAAAAAGTTCACAAATCACAACAAACACAAGTAACAATTTTTACTTTATTTGTCACTTCCTTGCAGAATTTTTACATTACAAATGTACATAAAAAAAATTTGTACAAAAAAATATCTTTGGTAATGCTACCATTTTGAAGACAAAAGAAACCCAGAAATGGCCTAGTTTTTTGAAAAACAAATACCATTAAAATCAATCTGTCTTGGAGTGTACCTCATCCTGGTAAGCATTCATATCAGTTTCCAAACATCTTTGGACCATTCCCATTTAGTGGTTGTCCTAGTATAAACTTCATATTGGTAGGCAATTAAGATGTCTGCTGGACACCATTAAATGTTCAGAGTAGTACAAGTACTTACCTCGTAATGGTAAGCAAACAGGATGTTGACACTATTTCGAATGCAAGGCGTTTCTGCCACAAACCTCAATAAAGTAAGCAACTAAAATGTCTTCAAGACATTTCAATAAATATATCGCTTAAATCTCTGTCAAGAAAACAGTACTCCTAACATTGCTATCGTATATTATGAGATACATGCATTGGTGAATTTCTCTTTTCCCATATGTACACTCGACACCAACATTACTTAACCAAGAACTTTCACACCAATCTGTAAAGTTGGTTATAAAAAGTCACTGGATTGGAAAAACTGATACTGTACACCAGCAATACTCCACCACAGTTGAACTGTTGCCGTTTTCTGCCTCCATAACGAGGACAATTCTGAGAGACAGGGAATATTAGAATGCAACATGATGTTAGGGCGATATTAACTGGAGACAAATAGGGATTGAACTAGTATTAAAAGGGCAAGAGTTTCCCAAGGTTCAGCTTCAACATTTCAGCAATGCCAGTTAGATTTATTTTGAAAAAATCTAACCCAATTTCTTACTTGGATTGTGTTGTCCTCTCAAATCTAGTAGAAAAAAATGCTACCAAAAATTATAAATACTCTTGAAAAAGATGTCTAAAACAAACTGAACAATCTATGCATTAATGATGTCCAACATTCCTCCTACTTTATATAACAGACTCCCTGTGTATAACAGACTCCCTGTATATAACAGACTCCCTGTGTATAACAGACTACCTGTGTATAACAGACTACCTGTGTATAACAGACTCCCTGTATATAACAGACTACCTGTGTATACCAGATTCCCTGTGTATACCAGACTCCCTGTATATAACAGACTCCCTGTGCAATAAATAAACCTTCTCACTTTTACAATCTCCTCAAAATTAATGATTCAAATACATTTTTCAATCGTTCTTTCAGAAATACTCTTTCACTCACATAAAGACACATTTTACGCTCGCTAAAGTTCACGATTCATACAACGCATTTTCACCACACATACATTCCACTGTACAATTCCACCACGGCTACATCAGGATGTCCACTTAAAGTATAACACTTCAGTTTGTGATCTCTTACTTAGTACAACAAGCGCTTCTTCTCCCTTCTACCAAACCTACATCTGAGATCTCATTATAATTGTTTCACTAAGCGCTTCTTCTCCCTTCTACCAAACCTACATCTGAGATCTCATTATAATTGTTTCACTGTAGTTCAAAGCTGTACATTTCTGTCACATTCAGAAGCACAAAAATAGGTAAATAATTCAAAATGAGCACAAATCTGACAGCTGCACCATTTAAACAGAACCCAAATACGAACCCAAATACAATATGTACTTTTGCCAATGTAAACAACTTTAATATCAAGAAAGAAATGATACGGGAGAATATTTATTTAGCACTTAATTACAGTATTGTTAATTTAGCAATTGTTAACTTGTACAATATTTTAAAATTTAAATTAATGAAATGATTTTAAATGTCTGAAATAACTGCATTACCTATTTTAAATATTTCGATTTTGATGCTGTACTTAATACTGAAAAGAAAAAATGATGGGTACATACATGTTTTACAGATATATCTGCATCATAGAAGATTGTCAATATATTTTAGTTTAATGATTCATTGGATCGTGATGTTGCAGGTGAAATGACTTTTTTCAACTGTGACATCATAATCAGATGCTGTGTCAACAATGAGCGAAGAATCAATGACAATCGGCCCATGATCAAAACAGTTCTGTAAAGTAACAAGTTTTCTCTCCAAAGGTCAGAAACAATATTCTATCTATCCAAACTTCCTCATAATTGTATTAATCATTTAAGGCAGGTCATATACAATGTAACAAGCTGTAGAATACATGAGCAGATGAGATGAATCTATACAGAAACAGGATAATTGATGACCAACGGAGATATGTAATGGTTAAGACTGAACATGAACACTTATTGTAGACCAGATTTTTTTCGCAAATTGTATCAAAACCGTGTCTATTTTTGAAAGAATTTATCCTTTTTGTTAAATACATGTTAAAATGTATCAAACTGATTCAAAACAAAGATTTCCCTTTCAATATTGAGTCCATGAATATCTTTTGTAGTCTTAAATTAAAATGGTCTACAAACTGAGTACCGTGAAAAAACAACACATCAGCTTACAGAAGCACTTCATATATCGCCACCAAAATCGCCATCTTTCTAAAAATGCTTTCAATATTTGAAACACAACTGAAATCCCATCCTCAATATCCAGGGGTTACGCTTAATTCATCCTCAATATCCAGGGGTTATGCTTACTTTCACTCTCTACACCCCTGGAATAATGTCATGGCAAAATTGAAGGCTCGATGTACGCCACCTTGTTGAGACAAGAAGACTAGTTCGATCCTTTGATGTACATCAAAAGAATCTCGCGGCCGTGTAACGGTAAAAATTGACAGGCTTTGAAGTCGGGCGTCTCTGCTTTGTAATCTTCAAAGGACATGTATCAGCCTAGCGATTGGTTAGTTTTTTTTTTTTCTGAGACCAATCAAACAGTTATCTTCGTGCCTTCAATTTTGCAATGACATATTCCAGGGGTGTAGAGAGCGAAAGTGAGCGTAACCCCTGGATATTGAGGATGCTGAAATCCTTCCTCTGACAAAATCTACGCATTGTCCGAGTTCTTCCTGAATGGTATATTAAGTCATTTGTGTGTAGTTATTCAGAAGAAATCCTGTGTGATTTTACCATTTTCGCTCAAGGTCTTTTAACCTGAGCATCCAACAAGACCATATTACTTTATATAAGTGAGGATGTGATTAAAATCACTAACAAAAATATTTGAAAAATATTTGAGTTTACTAAGTCCAAGCTCATGCGAGATAGGTCCAAATGTCTTCAGGCGTAACTCACATTGTCTGTTTTGAGCCAACTATCTAACCGGAATCCAGCCAAAACTTTCCCACATTTTGTCTGATGTCCAATGATAGGAACATTTTCTCATTTTGAACATATTGTGGCATAACAGAAAATATTCATCTGAAGAATTTGCCACAAAACTGACACAAATTTTTCGAAGATATTTTTTCTGGTCTTGTCCTTTTTTTCCTGATTCTGACCCTTCTAGCTAGGCTGGTAGCTCCCACACATATTAAACCAACCTTAAGCCTTATACAACTTTCCAGTTTGGTACAAAATTTGCACCACTGCATAAGCAGTTTCACATACACTGAAGTATCAACTTTTGCTGCCTCATCGCTCGTCAATGAGAGGTGTGGAGTCGCCCTGTTCCATTGGACTGGCTCGTACCGCTGGACTCTGTCCTGAGCGGGGTGTGCTGGGTTTTTGTCGTCCCTTGGCCCACATGGCCGCAGCCTTGGCCCAATCGGTTCCTGGTTTAGCCCACTCTTGCGTGGAGCTAGGTGCGGGCCTCTGTGACTGCTGGGAAGGATGCGATGGTGTTCCCATACTGCGGGGAGTAGCCCGAGGAGTAGCACCTGGCCACACAGGCGTGACTGCAGCACGGGGTGTTGGCTGGTAGGAGGGCGTGTTGAGCACTTGTGGAGTAGTTATGTGGTGTTGTGGGGTCATCATGGGGGTCATAAGAGGTGTAGTTCCCAGGGGCTGAAATCAGAGAATGGCATTTTGTCAAGTTATCATAATAAAGTGTTGACAAACCAATTCTTCCCTGGTCTATTAGGCATTATAGTATTTTTTTTTGTGAAAAACAAAAACCACACTCATTAGTTGCCTGCCACAAGCCTGCATTATCAATGTCTTCAAACTTTAACACGGGACGTTGTCGTCAGCTGTTTATTGTCTTTGTTGATGAGATCAATCTTTTGGAGACTTCATTTTTTTTATCAATATCTCCCAAGTCAAACAATCAATCTACCGACCAGTATGTAGCTTCGTTTTTGACCAGCTTGTTATGTTTTCCTTACATAATATATCGCCAGTAAAGATGCTTGCTGGTATAGTTATTCCCCATTATTCAAACACTTAGGTTCCAAGGCGTATTTTTAAAAGTATTAATCAATCAATCACGGTTATATTCTCTTACATCCCTTAATCTTAATTTTTCAGAATTTAATGGAATAAATTTCAATTTTCACTAATTCAATGTTTTTATATTTCAACTTAATTTTGATTTATAAATAAATATAATTGTTCATGTCACAGATATAAAGATCTACTGCTGCACTATTGCATCATACATTTAGTAGTCAAATTCACTATGTGATCATACATTTAGTAGTCAAATTAACCATGTGATCATACATCTAGTACAGTCAAATTCACAATGTGATCATACACTTAGTAAAGTCAAATTCACCATGTGATCATACATCTAGTACAGTCAAATTCATTATGTGATCATAATTCACTACGTGATCATACATTTAGTACAGTTAAATTCACCATGTGATCACACACTTAGTACAGTCAAACTCACCATGTGATCATACATTTAGTAGTCAAATTCAATATGTGATCATACATTTAGTAGTCAAATTCACTATATGATCATACATTTAGAACAGTCAAATTCACCATGTGATCATAAATTTAGTACAGTCAAATTCCCTATGTGATCATACATTAAGTAATCAAATTCACCATGTGATCACACACTTAGTACAGTCAAATTAACCATGTGATCATACATCTAGTACAGTCAAATTCACCATTGGATCATACACTTAGTACAGACAAATTCACTATGTGATTATACATTTAGTACAGTCAAATTCCCTATGTGATCATACATTAAGTAATCAAATTCACCATGTGATTAAACACTTAGTAGTCAAATTCACTACGTGATCATACATTTAGTACAGTTAAATTCACCATGTGATCATAAATTTAGTACAGTCAAATTCACCATTGGATCATACACTTAGTACAGTCAAACTCACCATGTGATCATACATTTAGTAGTCAAATTCCCCATGTGATCATACACTCAGTACAGTCAACTTCACTATGTGATCATAATTCACTACGTGATCATACATTTAGTACAGTTAAATTCACCATGTGATCATACACTCAGTACAGTCAACTTCACTATGTGATCATACATTTAGAACAGTCAAATTCACCATGTGAGCAGACATTTAGTACAGTCAACTTCACTATGTGATCATAATTCACTATGTGATCATACATTAAGTAGTCAAATTCACCATGTGATCATACATCTAGTACAGTCAAATTCATTATGTGATCATAATTCACTACGTGATCATACATTTAGTAGTCAAATTCACTACGTGATCATACATTTAGTAGTCAAATTCAACATGTGATCATACACTTAGTACAGTCAAATTCACCATGTGATATGTAAATATCGGAGTGATATAAAACGCCATTTGGTTAAGGTAAAGGGTACTGACTATATTGAATCCTGCGCCATGCAGGGCAGAGCCGAACTGTGGAGTGGCACCCGGCGTGGTTCGTGGGATACGAGGCGTGGCCGCGCCTGCCACCTGGGCGAGCGTATTGTAGATATTGCTAGGCAATCCTGCGGCGGCTCTCTGGATGGTAGCAGCATCCACACCTGAAGATAAATATCAGTCAATAGCATTGTGTTTATGGACAACGCTGTGGCTTTGATCCATAGCCGAGATTTATTAGAGAGCATTTATTGCATGAAATCCAATTAACCAATCAGAATTAAGTAGCATCATTAATTAGGTGTAAATTTGCACATATCAAGTTAGTGATAGAAAGTAGTCCGACACTTAAATACCATTATGTATGTGCATACCTTGTGTTGAAATCAGACCAATTTTAGGACCGTTATTGAACAGAAATTAAGAGTGACAGACAAGGGTCCCTACATCAGTGGCCTCCTACAATCAAACAGTGGGACCGAGTAGTTCTCTTTACTCCGAAACTGTTGGGTACTGGCCACAGGTCGGTGTTTTTTCTCTGGGTACTCCAGTTTTCCTCCACCACCAAAACTGGGCTTGTCCTTTATTTACCATAGGTGTTTATAGGACGTAAAACACAAACAATCCTAATCCGAAACTGTTGGGAAAATTATTCCCTAGAAAACGCTCAGCCAAAGTTCTGTTATCAGTGTGGGAGAACACTTACCTTGCAGGTTGATACTTGGTGTGGCGTAGTTGGATGACACCATGGGGGTTCGAGCACTAGCAGGGGTACCTGGGGGATAAATAAAGTTTTCTGTCAGATACACTACAATACCTTCCATAAATTACCCCTGTGAGGCCCCAGTAGAATACCATTTTTATAAATAAAGCCGACACAACTTACTACAGATCAGTGTGGTGAGCTTATGATTAATCTTCACAATTTTAAACTAATTAATTCGCAGCTGTGACTTAGAATCACTATAACAGACTCTGATGATGTTTTATAAAAATACATGTAAAATGATCTTTTATGGAAAAACTTGAGTAATATTTGTTTTGAAAAATACGAATCATTGTCTGGATTTATCAATGAAATTCTTTTTAAGTTCTTTAAATTCTTATGTGTTTTTTTCTTTTCAAACTGGGATAACCATATTATTCTGTTCTAAAATTGAAATGATATATCCCGCCAAAAAATGACCATGGATCAATTTGTCCTCCACATTTGTTTTGAAAATCACACAAAAAACCAGACATGTTCATCTCTAATACATTAAGTCATGCCAGAACTTGATACACAGAAAGACGTGTTCCTATGTTAAGTTTAAGCCTATTTTATTGATCCAATGATTCAAAAGGATTGGACAACAAGTTATTACTGTGTCCCAAGTGTCCACGACCTACCTGGTATTGGGTCTCTGAAATGTTCCTTAAACCAGCGAATCAGTGAATTCAGGGAATGGAAAGTTTGCTGTCGGTATCGCAGTCCATCTGGCAACAGGGTTATAAACTCATGGCGAGCCTTCGTACGTGGCATGTAGGATATGGTATACTTTCCAGGGTACTGTTTAGACAGGCTCAGGTAATAAGGAATCCTGGAACCAAGAATAAACCAATAATAATGATCTGTATAAATCTGTGTAATAAGGAAGATGATTCCCACTAGATCCAAATGTTAAAGGGGATATTTTTGCTTCAAGGTTTGTGTTCATTTACAGAAAAATTGGCTATGACCTCAATTTGAATGCATTTTTATTATCCTTTTTCCTCCTCAGACAAGTTCTCAAATAGATTGAATGAATGATGTTTTTACAGGCCAGGGAATGTCACATGACAGAGGGAAAAGGTACCCTAACCTTACCTTGGAAGGCCAGGGAATGTCACATGACACAAGTTCTCAAATAGATTGAATGAATGATGTTTTTACAGGCCAGGGAATGTCACATGACAGAAGGAAACTGTACCCTAACCTTACCTTGGAAGGCCAGGGAATGTCTCCTGACAGAAGGAAACTGTACCCTAACCTTACCTTGGAAGGCCAGGGAATGTCACATGACAGAGGGAAAAGGTACCCTAACCTTACCTTGGAAGGCCAGGGAATGTCACATGACAGAAGGAAACTGTACCCTAACCTTACCTTGGAAGGCCAGGGAATGTCACATGACAGAAGGAAACTGTACCCTAACCTTACCTTGGAAGGCCAGGGAATGTCACATGACAGAGGGAAAAGGTACCCTAACCTTACCTTGGAAGGCCAGGGAATGTCACATGACAGAGGGAAAAGGTACCCTAACCTTACCTTGGAAGGCCAGGGAATGTCACATGACAGAGGGAAAAGGTACCCTAACCTTACCTTGGAAGGCCAGGGAATGTCACATGACAGAGGGAAAAGGTACCCTAACCTTACCTTGGAAGGCCAGGGAATGTCACATGACAGAGGGAAAAGGTACCCTAACCTTACCTTGGAAGGCCAGGGAATGTCACATGACAGAGGGAAAAGGTACCCTAACCTTACCTTGGAAGGCCAGGGAATGTCACATGACAGAGGGAAAAGGTACCCTAACCTTACCTTGGAAGGCCAGGGAATGTCACATGACAGAGGGAAAAGGTACCCTAACCTTACCTTGGAAGGCCAGGGAATGTCACATGACAGAGGGAAAAGGTACCCTAACCTTACCTTGGAAGGCCAGGGAATGTCACATGACAGAGGGAAAAGGTACCCTAACCTTACCTTGGAAGGCCAGGGAATGTCACATGACAGAGGGGAAAGGTACCCTAACCTTACCTTGGAAGGCCAGGGAATGTCACATGACAGAGGGAAAAGGTACCCTAACCTTACCTTGGAAGGCCAGGGAATGTCACATGACAGAGGGAAAAGGTACCCTAACCTTACCTTGGAAGGCCAGGGAATGTCACATGACAGAGGGAAAAGGTACCCTAACCTTACCTTGGAAGGCCAGGGAATGTCACATGACAGAGGGAAAAGGTACCCTAACCTTACCTTGGAAGGCCAGGGAATGTCACATGACAGAGGGAAAAGGTACCCTAACCTTACCTTGGAAGGCCAGGGAATGTCACATGACAGAGGGAAAAGGTACCCTAACCTTACCTTGGAAGGCCAGGGAATGTCACATGACAGAGGGAAAAGGTACCCTAACCTTACCTTGGAAGGCCAGGGAATGTCACATGACAGAGGGAAAAGGTACCCTAACCTTACCTTGGAAGGCCAGGGAATGTCACATGACAGAGGGAAAAGGTACCCTAACCTTACCTTGGAAGGCCAGGGAATGTCACATGACAGAGGGAAAAGGTACCCTAACCTTACCTTGGAAGGCCAGGGAATGTCACATGACAGAGGGAAAAGGTACCCTAACCTTACCTTGGAAGGCCAGGGAATGTCACATGACAGAGGGAAAAGGTACCCTAACCTTACCTTGGAAGGCCAGGGAATGTCACATGACAGAGGGAAAAGGTACCCTAACCTTACCTTGGAAGGCCAGGGAATGTCACATGACAGAGGGAAAAGGTACCCTAACCTTACCTTGGAAGGCCAGGGAATGTCACATGACAGAGGGAAAAGGTACCCTAACCTTACCTTGGAAGGCCAGGGAATGTCACATGACAGAGGGAAAAGGTACCCTAACCTTACCTTGGAAGGCCAGGGAATGTCACATGACAGAGGGAAAAGGTACCCTAACCTTACCTTGGAAGGCCAGGGAATGTCACATGACAGAGGGAAAAGGTACCCTAACCTTACCTTGGAAGGCCAGGGAATGTCACATGACAGAGGGAAAAGGTACCCTAACCTTACCTTGGAAGGCCAGGGAATGTCACATGACAGAGGGAAAAGGTACCCTAACCTTACCTTGGAAGGCCAGGGAATGTCACATGACAGAGGGAAAAGGTACCCTAACCTTACCTTGGAAGGCCAGGGAATGTCACATGACAGAGGGAAAAGGTACCCTAACCTTACCTTGGAAGGCCAGGGAATGTCACATGACAGAGGGAAAAGGTACCCTAACCTTACCTTGGAAGGCCAGGGAATGTCACATGACAGAGGGGAAAGGTACCCTAACCTTACCTTGGAAGGCCAGGGAATGTCACATGACAGAGGGAAAAGGTACCCTAACCTTAGCCAGGGAATGTCACATGACAGAGGGGAAAGGTACGCTAACTTTACCTTGGAAGGCCAGGGAATGTCACATGACAGAGGGAAAAGGTACCCTAACTTTACCTTGGAAGGCCAGGGAATGTCACATGACAGAGGGAAGAGGTACTCTAACCTTAGCCAGGGAATGTCACATGACAGAGGGAAGAGGTACCCTAACCTTAGCCAGGGAATGTCACATGACAGAGGGAAGAGGTACCCTTACCTTAGCCAGGGAGGGTCACATGACAGAGGGAAGAAGTACCCTAATCTTACCTTGAAGGACCCTTTTTTTTCTCCTCTAACAGAATTTTATCTAAGGTTTCACGTTTCCCACTCTCAAACTCCTTGTGGTACTTAAAGTTCATGATGTCCCTGGCAAGGGCTGCCATTGGTTGGATATGACGGGCGAGAATTTCGTCAAGATCTTCAAACTCCTGAAAAATGTTAAAAAAGAACCCCAACATGAGGGATAGTTTTTATCAAGCCAAATTGAATTTCTTTTAAGGGAAAATCTTTGGTGTACATTATAGTGTGTCTGTTTCCATAGTTGGTGTGGTTGTATGAATAGCCAATGTATCTGTACATAGTGGGTGTGTCTCTGTACATAGTGGGTATGTCCCTGTACATAGTGGGTGTCTCTGTACATAGTGGGTGTGTATGTACATAGTGGGTGTGTCTGTACATAGTGGGTGAGTCTGTACATAGTGTGTATGTCTGTACATAGTGGGTGTGACTAGACATAGTGGGTGTGTATGTACATAGTGGGTGTGTCTCTGTACATAGTGGGCATGTCCCTGTACATAGTGGGTGTGTCCCTGTAGATAGTGGGTGTGTCTGTACATAGTGAGTGTGTCTGTACATAGTGGGTCTGTCCCTGTATATAGTGGGTGTGTCTGTACATAGAGGGTGGGTATGTCCCTGTACATATAGGTGCATTTCTGTCCATAGTGGGTATGTCTGTACATAGTGGGTATGTCCCTGTACATAGTGGGTGCATGTCTGTACATAGTGGGTGTGTCTGTACATAGTGGGTGTGTCTGTACATAGTGGGTGTGTCTGTACATAGTGGGTGTGTCTGTACATAGTGGGTGTGTCTGTACATAGTGGGTGTGTCTCTGTACATAGTGGGTGTGTCTGTACATAGTGGGTGTGTATGTACATAGTGGGTGTGTCTGTACATAGTGGGTGTGTCTCTGTACATAGTGGGTGTGTCTGTACATAGTGGGTATGTCCCTGTACATAGTGGGTGTGACTAGACATAGTGGGTGTGTCTGTACATAGTGGGTATGTCTCTGTACATAGTGGGTGTGTCTGTACATAGTTGGTGTGTCTGTACATAGTGGGTGTCTCTGTACATAGTGGGTGTGTCTGTACATAGTGGGTGTGTCTGTACATAGTGGGTGTCTCTGTACATAGTGGGTGTGTCTGTACATAGTGGGTGTGTCTGTACATAGTGGGTATGTCTGTACATAGTGGGTATGTCTGTACATAGTGGGTGTGTCTGTACATAGTGGGTATGTCCCTGTTCATAGTGGGTGTGACTGTATATACTGGGTGTGTCTGTACATAGTGGGTATGTCTGTACATGGTGGGTATGTCTCTGTACATAGTGGGTGTGTCCCTGTACATAGTGGGTGTGTCTGTACATAGTGGGTATGTCTTTGTACATAGTGGGTGAGTCTGTACAGAGTGGGTGTGTCTGTACACAGTGGGTATGTCCCTGTTCATAGGGGGTGGGACTGTATATACTGGGTGTGTCTGTACATTGTGGGTGAGTCTGTGCATAGTGGGTGCATCTCTGTACATAGTGGGTGTGTCTGTACATAGTGGGTGTGACTAGACATAGTGGGTATGTCCCTGTACATATAGGTGCATTTCTGTACATAGTGGGTGTGTCTGTACATAGTGGGTATGTCTCTGTACATAGTTGGTGTGTCTGTACATAGTGGGTGTGTCTGTACATAGTTGGTGTGTCTGTACATAGTGGGTGTGTATGTACATAGTGGGTGTGTCTGTACATAGTGGGTGAGTCTGTACATATTGGGTATGTCTGTACATAGTGGGTATGTCCCTGTACATAGTGGGTGCATCTCTGTACATAGTGGGGGTGTCTGTACATAGTGGGTATGTCCCTGTACATAGTGGGTGCATCTCTGTACATAGTGGGCGTGTCTGTACATAGTGGGTGTGTATGTACATAGTTGGTGTGTCTGTACATAGTGGGTGAGTCTGTACATATTGGGTATGTCTGTACATAGTGGGTATGTCCCTGTACATAGTGGGTGTGACTAGACATAGTGGGTGTGTCTGTACATAGTGGGTATGTCTCTGTACATAGTGGGTGTGTCTGTACATAGTTGGTGTGTCTGTACATAGTGGGTGTCTCTGTACATAGTGGGTGTGTCTGTACATAGTGGGTGTGTCTGTACATAGTGGGTGTGTCTCTGTACATAGTGGGTGTGTCTGTACATAGTGGGTGAGTCTGTACATAGTGGGTATGTCTGTACATAGTGGGTATGTCCCTGTACATATAGGTGCATTTCTGTACATAGTGGGTATGTCTGTACATAGTGGGTATGTCCCTATACATAGTGGGTGTGGCTGTATATACTGGGTGTGTCTGTACATAGTGGGTATGTCTGTACAAAGTGGGTGTGTTGCAGCAATTTCACCAAAAGTTAAACACTTCTTTAACCGTTGACCTTGAAGTGAAGGTCATGGTAAACTAGTAACATTGTACGAGACTCCGCCCTTGGGTGATGCAGTTATACATCAAGTTTTACCAAGATATCTGCGGCAATCGAAAATATACAATTGGACAGGTTCTATTTTATTATCTATTATATAGTGAGTCTGTCCATGTACAAAACAGGCGTGTTTCCTTACCTCATTACCAATGACGAGAGTGGTTCCCAGACTGAAAGCATTTTCCTTGCCCCTCTCCTTCACATCTATGTGCTGCATGGCTCCCTCGCCAACCTTCCATGTCACTGTCAGATGATCTGAACCCTGGACAGACAAAGCAGTGTTCATTGACGTGAGATCTCAGTGTTCATTGACGTGAGATCTCAGAATTTACTGAAGTGAGATCTCAAGAGTTCATTGAAGTGCGATCTCAGGAGTTCACTGAAGTGCGATCTCAGAGTGTTCACTGAAGTGAGATCTCAAGAGTTTACTGAAGTGTGATCTCAAGAGTTCACTAAAGTGTGATCTCAAGAGTTTACTGAAGTGTGATCTCAGAGCATTCACTGAAGAGAGATATCTGAAGTGTGATCTCAAGAGTTCACTAAAATGTGATCTCAAAAGTTCCCTGAAGTGTGATCTAAAGAGGTCACTGAAGTGTGATCTCAAGAGTTCACTGAAGTGTGGTCTCAAGAGGTCACTGAAGTGTGATCTCAAGAGTTCAGTGAAGTGTGGTCTCAAGAGGTCACTGAAGTGTGATCTCAAGAGTTTACTGAAGTGTGATCTCAAGAGTTCACTGAAGTGTGACCTAAGAGGTCACTGAAGTGTGATCTCAAGTGTTCAATGAAGTGTGATCTCAAGAGGTCACTGAAGTGTGATCTCAAGAGTTCATTAAAGTGCGATCACAAGAGTTCACTGAAGTGCTATCTCAAGAGTTCACTGAAGTGAGATCTCAAGAGTTTACTGAAGTGTGATCTCAAGAGTTTACTGAAGTGTGATCGCAAGAGTTCACTGAAGTGTGATCTAAAGAGGTCACTGAAGTGTGATCTCAAGAGTTTACTGAAGTGTGATCTCAAGAGGTCACTGATGTGTGATCTCAGTGTTCCCTGAAGTGTGATCTAAAGAGTTCACTGAAGTGTGATCTTAAGAGGTCACTGAAGTGTGATCTCAAGAGGTCACTGAAGTGTGATCTCAGTGTTCACTTCACCCCTGGCATGTACATATTGCTGACTATTACTAGTTTGCAGTATATCTACATAAAACAAGGTCAATTCACACATATATTCTAGAACATGTTTCAAAATTTAGAACAGGTAAGAAAGAAAAACTTACTTGATTTATTACTATTTATTTATTAACTCTGACAATTTGAGCTCTGCTTATTACGGTGGCCCACTTTCTGTCTTAGTACATTCTTTTTTAATGGAAAATTTATGTGTCACCTGTAATATTTCATCTGGGAAACACGAAAGCCACCTTAGGGAGACAATATATAGAATTTCACTACCTTGCTACTAGGTCTGATGATTGCCTCCCCTTGATCCATGTCACTGAGGAGCTTCTCGCACTCCTTATAACCGATGTTATGGAACGACGGGTGAGCAATAACTCGCTTTGTATATGCTGCAAGTAAAAGCAGTATAATTTCACCTCAATTATTTCTTAAAAGTTACAATTTCCAGAAATTATCATTTTCCTATAAAAGATATTGTTATAAATATAATCATATACTTGTGGATTCACAAAAAAAAATAGAAAAAAAGTCAATATTTAACAGATGTGTCAAACAAAAAGGATGGGTGTTTCATACTACCCTTATTCTCTGGCCTTCGTTTTATTTGACAAGAGACACCTACTCTGTCGCCCCTGTTAATTCTCTGGCCTTCGTTTTATTTGACAAGAGCATACTACCCTTATTCTCTGGCCTTCGTTTTATTTGACAAGAGACCCCTCCTCTGTCCCGCCTGTTAATTCTCTGGCCTTAGTTTTAATTGACAAGAGACACCTACTCTGTCGAACCTGTTAATTCTCCGGCCTTAGTTTTATTTGACAAGAGACACCTACTCTGTTGCGCCTGTTAATTCTCTGGCCTTTGTTTTATTTGACAAGAGACACCTACTCTGTCGCCCCTGTTAATTCTCTGGCCTTCGTTTTATTTGACAAGAGACCCCTCCTCTGTCCCGCCTGTTAATTCTCTGGCCTTAGTTTTAATTGACAAGAGACACCTACTCTGTCGAACCTGTCAATTCTCTGGCCTTCGTTTTATTTGACAAGAGCATACTACCCTTATTCTCTGGCCTTCGTTTTATTTGACAAGAGCATACTACCCTTATTCTCTGGCCTTCGTTTTATTTGACAAGAGCATACTACCCTTATTCTCTGGCCTTCGTTTTATTTGACAAGAGACACCTACTCTGTTGCGCCTGTTAATTCTCTGGCCTTTGTTTTATTTGACAAGAGACACCTACTCTGTCGCCCCTGTTAATTCTCTGGCCTTCGTTTTATTTGACAAGAGCATACTACCCTTATTCTCTGGCCTTCGTTTTATTTGACAAGAGCATACTACCCTTATTCTCTGGCCTTCGTTTTATTTGACAAGAGACACCTACTCTGTTGCACCTGTTAATTCTCTGGCCTTCGTTTTATTTGACAAGAGACACCTACTCTGTTGCGCCTGTTAATTCTCTGGCCTTTGTTTTATTTGACAAGAGACACCTACTCTGTCGCCCCTGTTAATTCTCTGGCCTTCGTTTTATTTGACAAGAGACCCCTACTCTGTCACGCCTGTTAATTCTCTGGCCTTAGTTTTGTTTGACAAGAGACACCTACTCTGTCGAACCTGTTAATTCTCCGGCCTTAGTTTTATTTGACAAGAGACACCTACTCTATCACGCCTGTTAATTCTCTGGCCTTAGTTTTATTTGACAAGAGACACCCTCTCTGTCGAACCTGTTAATTCTCTGGCCTTAGTTTTATTTGACAAGAGACACCTACTCTGTCGAACCTGTTAATTCTCTGGCCTTCGTTTCATTTGACAAGAGACACCTACTCTGTCGAACCTGTTAATTCTCTGGCCTTCGTTTCATTTGACAAGAGACACCTACTCTGTCGAACCTGTTAATTCTCCGGCCTTAGTTTTATTTGACAAGAGACACCTACTCTGTCGCACCTGTTAATTCTCTGGCCTTCGTTTTATTTGACAAGAGACACCTACTCTGTCTCGCCTGTTAATTCTCTGGCCTTAGTTTTATATGACAAGAGACACCTACTCTGTCAAACCTGTTAATTCTCTGGCCTTCGTTTCATTTGAAAAGAGACACCTACTCTGTCGAACCTGTTAATTCTCTGGCCTTCGTTTTATTTGACAAGAGACACCTACTCTGTCTCGCCTGTTAATTCTCTGGCCTTAGTTTTATATGACAAGAGACACCTACTCTGTCAAACCTGTTAATTCTCTGGCCTTAGTTTTATTTGACCAGAGACACCTACTCTGTCGCGCCTGTTAATTCTCTGGCCTTTGTTTTATTTGACAAGAGACACCTACTCTGTCGCGCCTGTTAATTCTCTGGCCTTTGTTTTATTTGACAAGAGACCCCTCCTCTGTCACGCCTGTTAATTCTCTGGCCTTCGTTTTATTTGACAAGAGACACCTACTCTGTCGCACATGTTAATTCTCTGGCCTTAGTTTTATTTGCCAAGAGACACCTACTCTGTCGCGCCTGTTGTTTGCGCTTCTCTTCCTCTTTTTCAGCACTTTCCTTCTCCTGTCACGCCTGTTAATTCTCTGGCCTTAATTTTATTTGACAAGAGACACCTACTCTGTTGCGCCTGTTAATTCTCTGGCCTTTGTTTTATTTGACAAGAGACACCTACTCTGCCACGCCTGTTAATTCTCTGGCCTTAGTTTTATATGACAAGAGACACCTACTCTGTCAAACCTGTTAATTCTCTGGCCTTCGTTTCATTTGACAAGAGACACCTACTCTGTCGACCCTGTTAATTCTCCGGCCTTAGTTTTATTTGACAAGAGACACATACTCTGTCGCGCCTGTTGTTTGCGCTTCTCTTCCTCTTTTTCAGCACTTTCCTTCTCTAGATCCTGGTCGTAGTACAGATCTTTAGGGGGCCTGGAAAAAAATTCACATAAATCACCTGAAGTTTCCATTATCTACGATATCATTCTATATATAGTTCTCATTTGACAAGAGACACCTACTCTGTCGACCCTGTTAATTCTCCGGCCTTAGTTTTATTTGACAAGAGACACATACTCTGTCGCGCCTGTTGTTTGCGCTTCTCTTCCTCTTTTTCAGCACTTTCCTTCTCTAGATCCTGGTCGTAGTACAGATCTTTAGGTGGCCTGGAAAAAAATTCACATAAATCACCTGAAGTTTCCATTATCTACGATATCATTCTATATATAGTTCTCATTTGACAAGAGACACCTACTCTGTCGACCCTGTTAATTCTCCGGCCTTAGTTTTATTTGACAAGAGACACATACTCTGTCGCGCCTGTTGTTTGCGCTTCTCTTCCTCTTTTTCAGCACTTTCCTTCTCCTGTCACGCCTGTTAATTCTCTGGCCTTAATTTTATTTGACAAGAGACACCTACTCTGTCGCGCCTGTTGTTTGCGCTTCTCTTCCTCTTTTTCAGCACTTTCCTTCTCTAGATCCTGGTCGTAGTACAGATCTTTAGGTGGCCTTTTATTTGACAAGAGACCCCTACTCTGTCACGCCTGTTAATTCTCTGGCCTTAATTTTATTTGACAAGAGACACCTACTCTGTTGCGCCTGTTAATTCTCTGGCCTTTGTTTTATTTGACAAGAGACACCTACTCTGTCACGCCTGTTAATTCTCTGTCCTTAGTTTTATTTGACAAGAGACACCTACTCTGTCGCGCCTGTTGTTTGCGCTTCTCTTCCTCTTTTTCAGCACTTTCCTTCTCTAGATCCTGGTCGTAGTACAGATCTTTAGGTGGCCTGGAAAAAAATTCACATAAATCACCTGAAGTTTCCATTATCTACGATATCATTCTATATATAGTTCATTAAATATGATTTTATAGCATGATCCTTTTTTTTTTTTCAATATTTAATTCTAATTTTTTGGTAATTTATTTGTAATCTCCATAAACTTTCATTCACAAATACTTGTTCACAGTTTAATTTCATCAATTCTATAGGAGATTTTACATCACAAATATTGTATGATGTTTTTGTCATAAATGTGTACTGATGGCTTCATTTCATAAATTTCAGTTTTATAACTTTTCTTCATCTCAAAAATGTGTGTACAAATTTGCTATAACTGACCAACATATTTGAAGTGACCGAGACTTACTTCCAGTTTCCATCTTTATCCATAAGGTCTGAAGATTTACATGTTAGATCCACCTGGAAGCGGTCAATATCGATTTTTGTGATACGGCTATGAATAGTCATTCCAACTTTGACTCGATCCTCCGGATTCTTGACCATTTTGTCACTTATGTTCTTGGTGTGGATGAAACCGGTCACTCCATTGTCCAGCCTAGTTCTCACACCAACAGCCGAGCCTGGACAGCTTCCCGCGTCAAAATGACTCCACACCTTGTATCGGGGAATAGTGAAGGAGGTTTAAATACAGAAATTAAACATCAAACTTATCTTCCCGACTTGTGTTATTTTGCATGAAAAATATTTGACATGAATTTAGAATAGCACAATTTTTTTTTATCAAATCTTGTAACAGTAACCACAAGATATCTTCAAAATCCAAGGGCTACATTCTCAAGATATATATTTCTCTCATTTCTGTGTGTGTAAGATAGGGCTGTCCAGGGAAAGAAAAGGGTGTAGAAAATTTCTATGTTACACCCCATTTCATGTGACGTGACATCACAATGGCTCAACAATGAGGCGACATCACAAATTTGGAAAACTCTGATGCCACGATATGGAAAAGGTGATGTGATGAAATCAAAACACTTTTTACGATATATTTACCGTACACTTTAGAAAGATGAGATGATTTTTTCTGCGCAAACTCTGTTAGCAATTTTGGGGTATGCTAAATCACGCTGACAGTCTCGTTTTCGTCAAAAAAGTTCAGGGGAAAAGTGGATTTTTTCAATATGGTTGCCAGTCCAAACGCATTTTAATGGTTTCTGAGCTTATTCTGGTAGTTGGAATGAGAGAAAAATACTCTTTCATTCCCGGGGTGAAGGATAGAGAAATTCCACCCTCAGGTTTTTCAAATTTTTCAAAACCTTGGGTGGAATTTCCCTATCCTACACTCCTTGGCATGGCAATGTCTTCTAGTCTTCTTCGCTCCCTTGGATTTCTCCTGACAGAATCAAAATCCCCGTAGGTTATCACTAAGTACATATACTATGATCTGGTGAGGCTCACCTCGCTCAGTTCTGGGAAATCGTCTTTGTTACAGAAGGGACATTTCCAGAGCCCTGTTTCCTGGTCCCGGACGGGGTTTGCTTGGTCCAACTGGTCTCCACGGGGTCGTCGATGAGCAATTCCCGCCACAGTTGTCAAAATCAGTTTACCTAGGGATAGTAAGTTTATTTGGTTGTATATTTTTAACGTCCTATTAACAGCTAAGGTCATTTAAGGATGTAAAAAAATATCAAATTTGAAAAGAAGGATAAGTGAATTTTATTTGAACTTGAAAGGCAGTAAGAACACTTTGTGTGCATGATACACACAAAAATTAACGTGAAATTACTCAATATGACTGATGTTTCCTGAGGTCAAACACCCAGCAGAGGTTAAGATGGACTTAATTCACATGTGAAGATACAGAACACACACATCTCTCAGCAATTTAAAACATTTTCAAAACATTTTTAAGATCAGGTCATATAATTTATTGATAGAAACAAAGTAGATAACCACAAGAAATCAAGAACTTCACACAATCACTTACCGACATAGAACGTCTCTGGTGTTTCCTTGGTAATCATGTTGAAGCGCTCCTCGTTTAACGGTGATCGGTAGGGCGTTCTCAGATCCTTGTACCGGTGATTTAACTCGGCCCTGATGTCATAAAGTGTGATGTGTTTGTCACCATATCCCTGAAAATTAAAAATCACAAATATTTTTAATTCACGACTCGAATGTTTCATTATTTGACGTTCTTGACATTTCATTGCTAATATATATATTTGCTTTTTATGATGGGGGCAACACTTAACTTTATAGACCTAAGAATTGTTTTTTGTAATTGTAATTAAAACTTTCTAATGTGTAAAAAATCGTCCTAATTGTTTAACATTCTCATCACTGATATCAAATATTTTACAGCAATTCATTTACTCAATACTGACACCAGATCATGCAAATCTGCATTTTACTTCTTTTTGCTGTTTTTTTATGGTATGTTTGATTATGTTTGAAATATCCCATGTGTTCTGGCCACGAACCTGTCGTTCAAGCTCTTCTGCAAATGCATCAAGATCGAGGTCCTTCAGACGCTCTGGAGACTCCAGGATTTCCTCGAGTGCTCCGGCGGGGTTGGCATCCTCAGCCGTATCGTCATACTCCAGCGCGTCAACAGCCATCTTTCTGGCCCACTCGTAGTTCTCTGGATGGACACGCGAGCCATCCAACACTTCAATGTATGCATCCGTGCTATAAATATCAACCAATCACATGTCAACTATACATATCAACCAATCACAGGTCAACTATAACTCATGAAACTAAATACACATATCATACAATTAGGTAGCCAATCATGAAGGATTTTACAACCGATTTATTATCAATGCAATACAGGTATATATGATAGGAATCATATCACTAACAACTCTTAAGCATGGATGAGTCATTGCTTCTATAAGACTTTTTTAAAATGAAAATATAATTATAAAACAAATATTATGCAATATATCTCCATAATTATACTTATCGATAACAATTCGACAACACACCTTCGACAGCTTGCCTCTGACACATCAGGATACAGACAAGTTTTGATCAGCATATCATTGTTAAACTTCGTCAAACAGACCTGACAAACATTATTTATTACAGTGACTCTTGGTGTCAATGTAAACGAAGCTCCACCCCTAGAACTGTCCATCATTACCTATTACAGAGACTCTTGGTGTCAATGTAAACGAAGCTCCACCCCTAGAACTGTCCATCATTACCTATTACAGAGACTCTTGGTGTCAATGTAAACGAAGCTCCACCCCTAGAACTGTCCATCATTACCTATTACAGAGACTCTTGGTGTCAATGTAAACGAAGCTCCACCCCTAGAACTGTCCGTCATTACCTATCACCCAAACTACTGGGTGTCTATCTTTATGAAGATCCACCCCCCCTAAAACTGTCAATCATTACCTATCACCGAAACTAATGGTGTCTATCTTTATGAAGCTCCACCGCTAGAACTGCCAATCATTACCTATCGCCCAGATTACTGGTGTCAATCTTGATTAAGCTCCACCCCTAGAACTGTCAATCATTACCTATCGTCCAGACTACTGGTGTCTATCTTTATGAAGCTCCACCCCTAGAACTGCCAATCATTACCTATCGCCCAGACTACTGGTGTCAATCTTGATTAAGCTCCACCCCTAGAACTGTCAATCATTACCTATCGTCTAGACTACTGGTGTCTATCTTTATGAAGCTCCACCCCTAGAACTGTCAATCATTACCTATCGCCCAGACTACTGGTGTCAATCTTTATGAAGCCAGCACAGTTGATGAAGACATTGGGCCCCATGTGACACACCTCCACCAGCTGTGTCCTGTTTTCTAGGCGAATGTTGGCTTGCTTCAAAATCTACAGGGAACAAACAAAACGGTACATTTATGACAGTAACCTATGTAGTGAATATATCTATACAGATCTTTACACTGATGCTGACACTCAAGGCTGTGAATGCAGCAATAGAAACCCTTGAATTTGGAACACAATCAAAACTGGAATTTTTAAAAGTAGCAAATAGAAAATTTGACTGAATAAATTCAGAAATTTAAACTGATGTAGCAATTAAAATCCGAAATTTGAAAAGAAGAACTTCTAGAGGGACCAACCAAAATCTTGTGAATGCATCATACTTAAAACTTGATTTTGATATTGCAATCCACCAATATCTTGACTGTGTGAAAGTACATCTATCTACAATTTGAATTTCTTGATGCATCAACATTACAACTTATTTGTAAACACATTCTCAAAAATTTACTTGTTAAAAAGCAGTTAAGTGAAAATATTCACCATGAAATTTCTTAATACATCAACTACTTGAGAAATTATTATTATTTGTATAAGTCAGCAAACTTAAGGTTTTGTTTCTCACGGTGGCATCAACAGCTGAAAAAGTGTATGTACATACGTACAGCTGATAGACTCCATCTTGTTGTATCTATTAAAGTGATATACTTGTAGTAGTTAACTACACACGTTTTACTCAATACACTTAAGATAAAATTCCTGCAATTAACAAATACCCTAAATTCTCAATTAACAAATACCCTAAATTCTCAATTAACAAATATCCTAAATTCTCAATTAACAAATAGCCTAAATTTTCAATTAACAAATAGCCTAAATTCTCAATTAACAAATAGCCTAAATTCTCAATTAACAAATACCCTAAATTCTCAATTAACAAATACCCTAAATTCACAATTAACAAATATCCTAAATTCTCAATTAACAAATACCCTAAATTCTCAATTTACAAATACCCTAAATTCTCAATAACAATCCTGGGATTCCTTGCAGTCAAATATATCTCCAAAGTAATACAGCTTCGAAAATAGGTCAACTTTAACATTTCTGTCTTTCCAAGATAGCAGACCATGCTAATCAACTAGATTTTGTTCTAAAAATATGATTGTAAATGAAAATATTTACAGTTATGTAATTTGTGCCAATGACAAGTTTTTGACCATTAATGGTTTTGAATACTTCAATAATATGTTTGACTGTTAATGGTTTTGAATACTTCCATAATATGTTTGACTATTAATGGTTTTGAATACTTCAATAATATGTTTGATGGTTTAAAAGGTTTGAACATAAGCTGTATATGCATGGTTTCGAAAATAAGATGGCCTTGAAAATAGGCTAGTTTGGAAAATAAACCTTGGATTCCTTACTTAAAACAATATTTAAGGTCAAGCAACTGAAATATTTAACGACTAATTAACAACTAAAGGACTATGTATGGTTTGGGCCTTTTTTGGCCCCCAAATCCATCAAAATCATAAATCTGCAATAGAACTTTCAAACAACTGTTTCTTTAATTTTGAATACTTCCCCTGTACTATCATGTAAACATTTATTTTTGTTTTCAATTTTGGCTGCCATGGTATTCAGGTCGTATTTGCATAAATTATTGAAATTTGATTATTCAGTCAATTTTGACAGGTTTTCACCTAGTTTTTCTCTTAGCTACCATAGAGCGCACTCTTGAACAAACTTTCTATTTCTCCTAAAGTTGTATTACAGGTGCCTACACATTATCCTTTGATATTTAGTTTGTTCAAGCATGCGCTCTATAGTTTCTAGGAAAAAAACCTATGCAAAATATCACAATATTCACTGAATATTCAATTTTTCTAATTTATGCAAATTTGAACTTGTTACCATGGCAACAATAATTAGAAATATAGATAAATATTTTCATAATAGTATTTGGGAAGTATTCGAAATTAAAGAAACCGTCATTTCAAAGTTCATTTACAGGTTTTGAATTTTGATGCATTTGGGGGCCAAAACAGGCCCAAACCATACATAGTCCTTTGTAAACAACAAACTCAAAACTGAATTTGTAAATAACGACTTTGTCTGAAGGCACTGTGGTGTATATACCTTGAGGAGTTGTGATGCCTTCCTAGGTCCTAGTCCACACACAAACTGTACAAGGGGTGCCGTGTGACTGTTAGCGATGGCTCGGTTGATGTCCACCCCAACCTCATTGACTCTGTTCACAAACTCCAGTGACAGCGCATTTAACAAATCATCTTTAGGAATCTGATCCTACAACACAAAACCATGGAATAATGTCAGAGGGCAGTCGAACATCAGCCCGAAAATCACTCCACCATACAAGTCAGAAGCTATTCCAAATTAATCAAAATATCTGAAATCAAAGGAGTTTTAAACGAGTTATTTCATATTTTTTTTCATAACTTTCTTTTTTTATAACTGAGTTTAGGTAAAGCAACTTCATTGAACGAATTAATATATTACGATAATCTATTGTTACTTTAAATAGCATTTCAATTTGAAATTAAGTTCATACAAAAACGAACATTCTGAATATTCTTATTGGAGACAACACCTTACCACATAATGGTTACTACAAGTTATAACTTAAGTTGAACTGGTTTCTCCAAGTACTGATCTATGACCTGTAATGACATGTATCCACTGGTTACCTCAGTTACTTCAAGTAACCACTTCTCCCAGCCTTGTAACTAAAAGGAAACTACTAACACGAGACAGGTAACTAGGAACTGGAAACTCTTGGTTAACATGTATACTGAATTGCTAACCTTAGGTTATACTGCTTACATGGGATGGTTACTCATGGCAACCACTGAAAATAACTGTTTTAGGATAAGTTAGTTACTACATGTAACCACTTACCTGCATGGGGTGGTATTTGAGACATAGAATGTCCTCATCCACATTACACAGCTGGGCAAACTCAATGAGCGGGTCCTGTAGTCGCCTGGCTATGGAAACAGCGTGTCGCAGTACCACCGGATAGTCACGGAACTCAATCTGAACAGGAAATGTAAAACCGGTACGTTTAAAAACCCATTACTTGAATGATACTGATGACAGTTACAGAAAGATAGCAAAATAGAGTTCCTGTGTAAAACCATTATTGATATTTTTTACCCAAAACAAGGCAAATTTATGTTCCTTGACAAGGTTTTTCTCATAAATATCAAATAAAACAAGAGGCCCATGGGCCTTAACGGTCACCTGATATATTTATACAGAGAGTTGATTTTGTTTTTAACATGAGCAGAAATATTATTCAAAGTGACAAAAAACAA